ATTCAGACTTTTGAAAATTGAATTTTTTTGTTTTTTGTGTTTTTTTTGTTTTTAGTAAATATTTTTTAAATTTTAAGCATTTTTTTACTTTTTTAGATGCACCTTACTTAGATGTATTTAAAAAATAAAATATTTATGAAAAAATATTTCAAAAAATTAATAAATACAAAAAAATATACTAAATTTTCATATATATATATTTGTATTTTTGATATTTAGTGATTTTTTTAAAGATTTTTTTTGCGAAAATTATACTTTTAAGTGTATTTATGTTAGGTGTGTCTAAAAATTTAAAAAATTGTTTAAAATTTTTAAAAAATTCAGTAAAAATAAAAAAAAAATTACAACAAAAACAAGAAAGTTAAATTTTTTGAAAAATATTTTTAGAAAACTCAAACTAAGAGAGAAACTCTAGCTTTGCTGAACCACACCCCCTGCCACCAAATAAAAAAGAAATATATTTATTGAAAAAAAAAACAAATATATAAATTGGAAGACCAAATCTCATGTAAACGGCATGGAGATTTTGTTGACACAGTATCTATCTACCCTCGTTGTCCTCAAGCTCACTCAACTACTGTGCTCAAATTGATTCGCATGAAACACATTATTATAATTAGAGCAGTGAGCTTAATTTGTTAAAACTATGTTGATCAACACCGATCTATAGGCTAATTACAGATTATATTTTAAAATTTATAATTCGTCTTCGGCACTTCCTACATATATATTTTTTAACCTCTAATAAAATATTAAAGTAAAAATAAGTGTGGGAGATTTAAAATGTAAAATTTATGAAAAATGTTATGTAAAATTAATTTGTATTATATATATATACATATATATAATATTATGTAAATTAGTGTTATATATTATATTCTTGATAATTGTTTTAGAATATTTTCAATTAACTAGCAAATTGAAACTGTATATATATATATATAATATTATGTAAATTAGTGTTATATATTATATTCTTGATAATTGTTTTAGAATATTTTCAATTAACTAGCAAATTAAAACTGTCCTAAACCGCTCAAATCGGGAATTGATTATTTGTCAATCCGCCATCCGCCACATGGTTTCTCTTTAAGCCTCAAACCGCACCACACATGTAACAGTAGTATTTGATTCTCAGTTATACTAATCTAATGAAAATTTTCAATTATTGTTCAATTGATTGTGCAAATTTAATTATAAGGTTGGTTCATGTTGACAAAAAGTAGGAGCACAGACAATAATACAATTGCCTACTCAAGATTGTTTTTGAGCCCTTCTTCCTTGCATTCTTGGGTTAAATCATCTTCTTCCTAGTACTTGGGTGGAAAAAGAGGAGGTTGAGATGTTGCCATGGATGGAAAAGAAATTTTGGATTCTCACCTTCTTTTTGTGATGTCCAAGCATTATGCACAAGTATATATATATAGCTAATTGACATGAGATTCTTTATTCTTAAAATCTCTATCTCCTATCTCCAATATGATACGAAATCTCAAAATATAATATTCTCGAAAGTTAAGACATAAACATACGACTAAAAGTGCATTTGAAATAGGAGAACAGGAGCACACCCCAATTAAATTAAATTTTCACATTCTAAATTCTTGACACTTTATAAAATATTTTAATGAATACATAACATTCAGTGTGTTTGGTTTGAGTTTTTTGAATTCAGACTTTTGAAAATTGAATTTTTTTGTTTTTTGTGTTTTTTTTGTTTTTAGTAAATATTTTTTAAATTTTAAGCATTTTTTTACTTTTTTAGATGCACCTTACTTAGATGTATTTAAAAAATAAAATATTTATGAAAAAATATTTCAAAAAACTAATAAATACAAAAAATATACTACATTTTCATATATATATTTGTATTTTTGATATTTAGTGAATTTGTTAAAGATTTTTTTTGCGAAAATTATACTTTTAAGTGTATTTATGTTAGGTGTGTCTAAAAATTTAAAAAATTGTTTAAAATTTTTAAAAAATTCAGTAAAAATAAAAAAAAAATTACAACAATATTTACACTTAATGGTGTGGATCACACCCAAATTAAATTAAATTTTCACATTTTAAAATTCTTGACACTTTAAAAAATATTTTAATGAATACATAACATTGCTATTTTAGAGAGAGAAACCCTAGCCTAGCTCAACCTTACCCGCTGCCACCAAATAAAAAACAAATATATTTATTGGAAAAAAAAAACAAATATATAAATTAGAAGACCAAATCTTATGTAGAAGGCATGGAGATTTTGTTGTCTATCTACCCTCGTTGTCCTCAAGCTCACTCAACTACTGTGCTCAAATTGATTCGCATGAAACACATTATTATAATTAGAGCAGTGAGCTTAATTTGTTAAAACTATGTTGATCAACACCGATCTATAGGCTAATTACAGATTATATTTTAAAATTTATAATTCGTCTTCGGCACTTCCTACATATATATTTTTTAACCTCTAATAAAATATTAAAGTAAAAATAAGTGTGGGAGATTTAAAATGTAAAATTTATGAAAAATGTTATGTAAAATTAATTTGTATTATATATATATACATATATATAATATTATGTAAATTAGTGTTATATATTATATTCTTGATAATTGTTTTAGAATATTTTCAATTAACTAGCAAATTGAAACTGTCCTAAACCGCTCAAATCGGGAATTGATTATTTGTCAATCCGTCATCCGCCACATGGTTTCTCTTTAAGCCTCAAACCACACCACACATGTAACAGTAGTATTTGATTCTCAGTTATACTAATCTAATGAAAATTTTCAATTATTGTTCAATTGATTGTGCAAATTTAATTATAAGGTTGGTTCATGTTGACAAAAAGTAGGAGCACAGACAATAATACAATTGCCTACTCAAGATTGTTTTTGAGCCCTTCTTCCTTGCATTCTTGGGTTAAATCATCTTCTTCCTAGTACTTGGGTGGAAAAAGAGGAGGTTGAGATGTTGCCATGGATGGAGAAGAAATTTTGGATTCTTACCCTTTTTTCGTGATGTCCAAGCATTATGGACAAGTGTATATATGTGTGTATATATATACATAGTTATAGCTAATTGGCATGAGATTCTTTATTTTTAAAATCTCTATCTTCTATCTCCAATATGATACGAAATCTCAAAATATAATATTCCTGAAAGTCAAGACACAAACATACAACTAGAAATGCATTTGAAATAGGAGAACGGGATTTCAAGATGAGAAATGTTGTGTATTAAAACAAACACCAAAAAAAAAAAAATCTAGAATTTAAATATATAACATATATTTACACTTAATGGTGTGGATCACACCCAAATTAAATTAAATTTTCACATTTTAAAATTCTTGACACTTTAAAAAATATTTTAATGAATACATAACATTGCTATTTTAGAGAGAGAAACCCTAGCCTAGCTCAACCTTACCCGCTGCCACCAAATAAAAAACAAATATATTTATTGGAAAAAAAAACAAATATATAAATTAGAAGACCAAATCTTATGTAGAAGGCATGGAGATTTTGTTGTCTATCTACCCTCTTTGTCCTCAAGCTCACTCAACTACTGTGCTCAAATTGATTCTCATGAAACACATTATTATAATTAGAGTTGTGCAAAATACAGTCTAATTCGTTAAAATCACACTGATCTGCATCAATCTAGTTGTTGATCACGGATTATACTTTAAATTTTATAATTTACATTTGAAACCGCTCCTAGATATTTATTTTTTAAACTCTAATAAAATATTAAAGTAAAAAAAAGTGTGTGAAAGATTTAAAATGTAAAATTTATGAAAAATATTATGTAAAATTAATTTGTATTATATATATAAAAAAAATATTATGTGAATTAGTATTATATATTATATGCTTGATAATTGTTTAAGAATATTTTTAATTAACTAGCAAATTAAAACTGTCCTAAACTGCCCAAATCGCGAATTGATTATTTGCCAATCCACCACCTGTCACACAGTTTCTCTTTTAGTTTCAAACCACACCACGCATGTAACAGGAGTATTGAAAGCTCAATCATACTAATCTAATGAAAATTTTCAATTATTGTTCAATTGATTCAGGGCTGCCCTACCATAAGGCAGGTAAGGCTTGTGCCTTAGGCCCCAAATTTTGGCCCAAAAATAGGGCCCCCAAATTTAAAAAATTGTTATAGGCCCAATCTTTTCTTCTTTTTTTTTGGTTTTAAGATCAATTTAAAGGGTCCCAAATGTTTATTGGGCCCATGTATAATTTAGCCCATATTTATTTATAAATGTGTTTGGCCCATATTTTTTAAAATGAAAATATATAAATAAATAAACAAAAACTAAAAATGTGTTTGGGCCCAACCGAAAGTTTATCTGGTGTGGGACTGAAAACAGCTTTGGAGGCTTTAAAGGGCCCCAAAACTGAAAATGTATTTAAAGGGCCCCAAAATGTGTTTGGGCCCAACCCAAACCATACATACAAATACAATATACAATACATACATGTCCAGTGCACTGCTAGTGTGGTGTGGTGAGTGCTTCTGTTTTCAATCTCTCTTTAACGAAACGAAGTGAAAGACTTGAAGGCAGGCAGATGAAGAGCATAGCATAGCATAGACTCACTCTCCCTCTTTCACTATCTCTCACACACACACTCTCTCATGTAAGTCCTCTCTCTCAGTATCAGATTTTATTAAATAAAGTTGCCCTAATTTTTTTTTTATATTCTTTCTCTATCAATTAGTGGAATAATAAATTTGCCCTAATTTTTTTATTACCTTCTTTATCCATTAGATTTTAGTGGAATAAATAATTTAGCCCTAATTTTTTTACCTAGGTATTTATCAGTTTTAATTGAATAATTTGTTTGCCCTAATTTTGTTTCATTAAATTATTTTTTATAATTTATTTGCTATCAGATCAGTGGATTGTGATTTGTGGATTGAAGTTGTGATTTGTGGATTGATTTGAAGTGTTTGTCATTTGTGGATTGAAGTGTTTGTGATTATAGCCATGTTTCCTAGGAAGTATAGTTCTAGAAATGAAAAGAGAAATAAGAGGATGAAAGTAAAACAATTAATTCAATCTCAATCGGGAGCACTTGATAAATATTTTGGTACCAAGAAACAAGTAGATATTTTGGGTTCAAATGACAATGATGATGAAGATTTGGTAATTGAAGAGCCTACTCATTGTGTGAGTAATAATGAGAATGATGATTTGGTGATTGAACAACCTAGTGAACATATGAATGAGAATGAGAATGAGAATGAGAATGAGAATGAGAATAAAGATTTGGGGAATGTAGAATCGAGTGAAAGTGAAGATGTCAATGTTGAATGTGGACCTCTAAACATTTATGACCCTAGTAATTGGGACAAGATTGATCAAAATTTAAGGGATTTACTAGTTGAAAGAGGTCCACAGATGTTAGCGAGTGAGATCAAGAGTACGATTGTGGCAAGAATCAAAGAAGCGAAATATTTTTCAATTATTCTTGATTGTACTCCAGATGTTAGTCATGAAGAACAAATGTCTCTTGTGATAAGATGTGTAGATGTTTCAACTAGTCCGGTAAAGGTAGAAGAATTCTTTTTAGAATTTTTTAAAGTGGATGATACATTGGGGTTGGGACTTTTTAATGTACTTAGAGAGGCATTGCACACACTCCAGCTTGATATTGGTGATATAAGAGGGCAAGGATATGATAATGGCTCTAATATGAAAGGGAGACACAAAGGTGTACAAAAAAGAGTACTTGAAATAAATCCAAGAGCATTCTACACGCCATGTGGGTGTCATAGTCTTAATCTTGCCCTTTGTGATATGGCTACCTCTTGTTCCAAAGCTATCTATTTCTTTAGAGTGGTACAACGCATATATGTGTTGTTTTCATCTTCTACAAAGAGGTGGAAAATTTTCAAAGACAATGTGGAAGGTCTCACACTTAAGCCATTATCACAAACTCGTTGGGAAAGTCGCATTGAAAGTGTTAAAGCTATAGGGTACCAAGCTCCACAAATTAGAGATGCTTTAATTCAGTTGGAAAAAGAAGCTGATGATCCCAATACAAAGTGTGAAGCTGAATCCTTAGTTACATCTGAAATTGAGAACTTTGAGTTTTTGCTTGGCATGATTATTTGGTACAATCTGTTGTTTGCTGTTAATTCTGTTGGCAAGACATTTCAAGCTGAAGACATGCATATTGATGTTGCTATACATCAATTAAAAGGACTCATTACATTTATTGAAAAGTATAGAGAAACTGGATTTTTGGAGGCCATGATTGAAGCTAAAGAAGTTGCAATTGAAATGGAGATTGAGCCTACATTTCGTGAAAGGTGTGTCATTCGTAGAAAGAAACATTTTGATGAGAATGTTGGTGAATAGGTTGCACAATCAGCTGAAGAATCCTTTAGCGTTAATTATTTTATATATATAATAAATCAAGCTCTTTCTTCACTTAAGATTAGATTTGAACAATTTCAAATATATGATGAAACTTTTGGATTTTTGTTTGATTTGAAGAAGTTAAATTCTACCAATGATGAGTGCTTGAAGACTTATTGTGCTAATCTTGAAGACTTTTTGAAACATGATGGGCTTATGGATGTTGATGGGAGAGATTTATTTTCTGAGTTGAAAGTCTTCAAAGAAATTTTGCCAAAAGAAATCAATAGGCCAATTGAGGTGATGAATTATTTGAAATTGATGGATGGTTGTTTTCCAAATGCCTGGATTGCGTATAGAATATTATTGACTATTCCAGTTACCGTTGCCTCTGGAGAAAGAAGTTTTTCAAAGTTAAAATTGATCAAATCCTACCTTCGATCAATAATGTCACAAGAAAGATTAAATGGATTAGCTATATTGTCTATTGAAAAAGATTTGATAGATAAATTAGATTATACAAACTTAAAAGCTAAAAATGCAAGAAGAGTAGTATTTAAGTGATCGTTGGGTTAATTGTAAGCTGGATATTGCTAAACTATAAAGCAATAAAACCAATTTTTAATGTTTTTAAGTCATTGTACTGATTTCTTCCTATCTTATTATATATGAAAGTAAATTTTAGTTTATGATTTTAATGATTATATGTTCAAGTATACTTAAATAAAAAATTTGTGGATACTTATCATTTTATGCATAAATTTTTTATTAAAAAAAAATATATTAGAGAGACTTCATTTTCACAGTGCGCTTTAGACCCACAAACCTCAGGGCCGGCCTGAATTGATTATGCAAATTTAATTATAAGGTTGGTTCATGTTGACAAAAAGTAGGAGCACTGACAATAATATAATTGCCTACTCAAGATTGTTTTTGAGCTATTCTTGTCTTGGCCTCAAACACTTGCCATTTCTCTTTTTTTGGAGTAAAAATAATTTGAATTTTTTTTTAATGTTTATTTTCATCACTATAGTTTCAATTTAAAAAAATAAATAAAATCCCAAACCTTAACCATATAATATATGTATAAGAACTTGACCAATAAGGTTCATAGGCTGTGTATGACGCGTCATATCAAAATTTGAGCCTTCACTATACGTTCATCAAGATCTCTTAACTATTGAATAACACATTACGGCTCATCTATAAACCTATATATTTTACCCTCTCAATTATAAAATTTAAAAAAAAAAAAACATACAAATGACTACCCTTTTTGCTAAGGGTGGAAATGATGAATTTTTGTAGTTAAAAGTGGTCAAAATATATAAAGTTCATGGATGAGGTAATTTGATATTAACAGTTGAGGACGTCTTCATGCAATTACCTCTTTATTTTTATTTATTTTTTGGGTGAATAAGACATTAAAAAAAAATGAGTGAATAAGACCAAAAAAAAATTGGGGTGAATAAGACATAAAAATAAAAAATAAAATTTGGGTGAATAAGACATTAAAAAAAATAAAATTGGGTGAATAAGACATAAAAAAAAAAAAAAAAAATGGGTGATTAAGACATAAAAAAAATTTTGGGTGAATAAGACAAAAAAAAAATATTGGGGTGAATAAGACCAAAAAGAAAAATTTTGGGTGAATAAGAGAAAAAAAAAATTTGGGTGAATAAGACAAAAAAAAATTTGGGTGAATAAGACGTAAAAAAAAAAAAAGACAAAAAAAAAAAGGGTGAATAAGACATAAAAAAAAATTTGGGGTGAATAAGACCTAAATTTTTTTTTTTTTTGTGAATAAGGCATAAAATATATATATATATATATATTTGGGTGAATAAGGTATAAATTTTTTGGGGGTAAATAAGACCTAAAAAAAAAAATTTTTTGGTGAATAAGGCATTAAAAAACAAAATTTGGGTGAATAAGACAAATAAATTATTTTGGGTGAATAAGATATTATTCATTCCTAACGATAACGATAACGAGGAGTAAAAACAAAAACAGATGAAAAATCAATCTCCTATGCCATCCAGTAGACGAACGTGCATGGCATCTGAGATTTCTGGCTGATATACCAAGAGAACTTTTTCCTCAATTTGTTTCCAGATGAGAAAAGCTGGATAAAAAAATAAAAAAAAAATGAAAGAAAGAAAGAAAAGGAAGAGCGAGTAAATACAGGGGCATAGTAATATTGAATGAGAAACACGAAAAGATCTATGAGGGGATGTGGTCTTTACTTCGTCATTCAAGGTCAGACAACCCCAGCAAAGAGTAACTCGAACATCCGATCCAAGCAACGGAATACACTCTGATCCTCTCACATGGACACTAAAACAAGCTGCATAAATACACAAATTAGACACCAGAAGAATTTTTTTTTTTTTTATAGGATTGACTAAAAGTAAATCGTGAAATTATGAAGCAAAACAGTTGCCTATTACATTTTAGTGTGAATGCAGATCAAACCAGAATCTAGTGATATATTTAACAGGAAAAAAGAGAAGCTTCCAAGTGATATGAAAACAGTTTCTGTTAGAAAAGTAGAAGAGATTTTGTTTCGTTCAATGTTCTTGAAATCTATTTTAAGGAAATTAAGTTTTTTTCTTTTTGAAAATGATGTTTTATGTTATCTGTATATGGTTTCTGTGTGAATGATTTTCTGATCACACTGCCCGCTTAGTAATCAGGTAAAGAGCACTGGCAGAATAGATGGCTTCAGTTATCCTGCAATAGAAAGAAAAGGCTCCGGCGGTGGCTCCTCCACCCGGGGGCACTCCGACGATCAAGTCAGTATATTTCTCAAAGATAATCAAGTGCTAAACTCACTGCTCAAAGCATAAATTGCGTACCTTAGACCCACGGGGGTGCCTCTCTTTTATAGTTTACTTAATCCTAGTCTCACAGGAAGCCTCACTTCTATGGACTCCAATTCAATACTTACTTTGGACTCCTCAAGAGATAAAGATAAACTCCCTAAGAGCTTTATCCTCATCTTGACTAAGTTTTCTCTTTATTCTAGGACTCTTGTCCCTTATCTTTTATCCTCTTATCTCGGATTCCGATATCTTCGGGGATAACCTCGACCTTGCCGAGATCACCTCGGCGTCACGACCAGGACACGTGGCACCTCGGCTGACACATCGGTGTCACCTTGCCACGTGTTGGTACTCAGAAAATATATCCCCACAACTGCCCCTTAGGTTCTATTACCTCGGCAATCTGAGGTGATGGAAACTATATCATTCCATTTTTCCAGTACGTCGGTTTTCAGTATCTCAGTCGAGATCATTATTTTGGCCGATATCCTTTTATTCAAGAACAAGAACTTCAAGAATTCTTCCATGCGTATGAGCTGTCATACACCACAATTCAACCGTTTTTAACCACGCGTTTATTTCTTATTGGTTCGTACCTGTGACGCGCCCATAAGCCGTCTCTTTCTCACGTGCACCGTCTGACGTATGCGTTCTTCTAGGCATATTGATTATTTTTTGCCGTCGTTTTCATTTTTGACAAAATCCTTCCCCTTTTCTTCATTTTTTCACTTTTGCATCTGATTTCTCTTGCTTTTTCTCTTTCTAAACTCTTTCTTTCAAATCCGCCATTGCTTAAGCTCCAAACTCTACAGTTGTCTTCCATTCTCCCTTCCTGTGAAGCTTTCGTCATTCTCGTTACATCCGTAACTGTCGTCTGACTCCGGCAATCTTCATACCGGCTTCACTTTTTTCTGGTAAGCTATTGTTCCTCTCGTTTTCAATTCTGTTGATATTCTTCATTACTTGTTGCCTTTGCTGCATCTGTTGAAACTTTTAATTTGTGATTCATACACCTGAATGTGTCCTTCCCATGATTTTGCCCTTGCCCATATCTTGAACACACGCATTGTTTCACTACTTCCCTGTATCTTTGTTACTAATTTTGGCCCTGTATTTCTTGTATTTTTTATGCTCTTGATAAACCATCTCTGTGCTTGATTCTGAAATTCCATTCTTGCTTTCTGTTTTTTGTGTCTTTTCCAGATCTGTGCCTTTGATCTTCATTTCCATAGTTTTAGGTTTGGGATTTGTTTGTAGAACCCACGATTTAGGGCAAAACTGAAACATTCCTTACAAATTTCTGTACCAGCCCAAACCTAGGTTTTTGCCGAGGTCCCATCAACAAGAAATATCTTCTTTCTGAATTCCAACCCTTCTAATTCAGGCCGATATCATGGGTATGTGGAGACATAGGGTAGATATCCCGACCAAACTTGAGTACTTTAGGCAAGAGTTCTTCATCCCTGCCGATGTCCATCTGAGGCTGGCTGTGGATGATGACTCCATCATGCCTACAGAAAACTCCATGCCCTTTCCCATTGTAGCTTTTACTGAGTGCGGACTCCGGCTCCCACTCAACATCCTTTTTCGCGAGATTCTTCACGTTTATAAGTTGAACCCTATGCAACTGGCAATCAATTCTTATCGAGTGATCTTTGGCGTCATAGCCTTAGCTAAACAGGAAAATGCTAGGATCACCCTTACCGACATCCAGTATTGTTATACCATGTGTGCCTTTAATTTGAAAGAAAAAGGCTACATTTATTACCTTAAGCCGAGGTCTACAGAATTCAAAATCGTAGCCGACCTCCCAGACTCCAACAAGGGGGCTGGTGATGACTATCTTATTGCCTCGGGAAATTGGGAGTTTGCTCATCTCTACCCTCTTCCCCGATCAGTTTTAGAGGGCAAGGGTAAGAGCCCAGTATTCATCTTTGCCTGTTTTCTTTCGAAGTCTTAAATACTTTGTCTGTTTCTGACGTCTGTTCTTCTTGCAGCTATTCGTCAGCCACCAAAAAATTTTCGCCAATCCTTTGTCCCCAGCAAGGATTTGAAGAAACTTCTGGACTTGCCAGTCCATAAGAGAAAAGCGTCTGTGCTTCTTAATTTTATTCCATCATACAAGTCGACTTTGCCCGACGTTCCAAAAAGGAAGAAGAAAAGCCTTTCTCCACCCTCTGCTATAACTCCATTGACTACATCCACATCACGAACAGATCAAGGATCAACATCCGATCCAGCTGATCAGGCATCAACCTCGGCTCCATACTTGGTCCCAATATCAGAACGAAAACGTCGGCGGCGACTTATCCTTACTACCGAGATGGGCCGCCCTAAGCCTGTTGCAAAAGATCTTCTGGCCAGTATTCCATCATCTATTAATGAGCAGGCAACACAAACCCAACCTCCATCAAAGTCGAAAAGAATAAAGAAGGCTCAACCAAAGCCTAAGGTAACTCAGGTTGAGTCTGAAGATACCCTGCCTATCTCAAGGTTGGCGGAGAGTGACAAACCTCAACCCTCTGCTGGGAAGAGGCGCTCAGAAACCCAGCCATCAAAGTCCCCAAAATCTAAAAAGCCGAGGTCTTCTTCCGCTACGACTTCGGGATCCAAGAAGAGCGATGCCCCCTGGTCCCCAAAAATTACTCTGGAGGACAAACCAGTCTTGGCTACTGACAGTGCCGACAATATCAATGTCGGCGTAGCCCTAAGCACAGCTCTGCTCCTTCCCGGCGACCTTGACCGCAACGCCGAGTTGAGTGAGTACGAGAATTATGCGTTGATGCTTCAACGTTCCGTTCAAGTAAGTGTCTTCTTCTTGGTAATTTTCTTCTTTCTG